GAGGAGGAGGAGTTGGACGAGGCGCAGGAGGCGGAGGAGGAGTAGGAGGAGGAGGATGAGGTGGATGAGGAGGAATAGGAGGAGCCGGAGGAGCAGGAGGCGCAGGAGGAAGAGGAGGAGGAGGAGGATGGGGATACTACGAATACGAAGCACAACATGAACACGAAGACGATAAATCATATCACGAAGGCTAAACCCAAGACCACGAAGAAGACGATACTGATATTACCAACAATAAAGACGACGCATACTAGGTAATACGAAGCATACGAATCATCAGGATACTAAGGCGACTAAGAAGAATGATACGACGAACGAGAAGACGAGCACGACGAATCATACGACTACTACGAAGAACAAATACAAGCATAGGACTACGATTAAGAATCGTACGAGTAAGAAGATGAGGAGGATGAGGAGGAGGAGGAGGAGGAGGAGCAGCAGCAGGCAGAGGAGGATGAGGAGGATGACGAGGAGGAGGAGGATAAGGATGAGGAGGAGGAGGAGGAGGCAGAGGAGGATGAGGAGGAGGAGGAGGAAGACGAGGAAAACAAAGGTGGAGACGGAGGGGGAGGAGGAGAAGGCGGAAGAGGATGAGGAGGAGCAGGAGGAGCCGGAGGAGGAAATGGACTTAGTGGAGGAGGATGAGGAGGAGGAGTAAGAGGAAGATGAGGAGGCGCAGGAGGAAGAGGAGAAGAACGGGAAGGAAGACGGAGAGGAGGAGGAGGGGGATGAGAAGGAGGAGGAGGGGGAGGAAGAGCACCAGGAGGAGTCGGAGGCGGAAGAGGAGGAGGAGGAGGAAGAGGAGCAAGAGGTGGAAGAGGATGAGTAGAGGAGGAGGAGGAGCAGGAGGAGGAGGAGGAGGAGGAGTGTGAAGAGGCGGAAGAGGAGGAGGAGGATTCGGGAATGAAAATGACGATAAGTGTGTAGAGGACTAGAAGGAGGAAGAGGAGGAGGAGGAGGAGGAGGAGGAGGAGGAGGAGGAGGAGGAGGAGGCAGAGGAGGATGAGAAGGAGGAAGAGGAGGAGGCGGAGGAGAAGGAGGTGGTGGAGGAGGAGAGGAGAGGATGAAGAGTAGCACAAAGACGACGAAGGAGGAGGAGGAGGAGGAGCAGGAGGAGGAGGGGAGGCATGAGGGTGTTTGCAATGATGACGACGGCGACGACGATGCTGATGATCATGATGAGGAGGATGTGGAGGATTGATGGTGATGACGGTGGTGTGGGTGATGATGATGCTGCAGATGATGACGATGATGACGATGCTGACGATGATGATGATGATGATGATGATGATGATTTTGATGATGATGGTGATGATGATGGTGATAACGATGCGGATGAGGATGGTGATTATGACGACGATGCTCATCGTGATCAGGATGATGATGTTGTTGTTGATGATGATTATGATGATGCTGGTGATGATAATGCTGATGCTGCTGATGATAATAATTATGATGATGATACTGATGACGATGATGATGACGATGATGATGATGGTGATTATTGTGATGACGATGACGATGATGAGGATGATGATGATGAAGATGATGAAGATGAGTATGCTGCTGATGATGAGGATGCTGCTGATGATGCTGGTGGTGGTTTTGGTGGTGGTACTGAGGAGGAGGAGGAGGAGCAGGAAGGATAAGTATCATGATGTTGATGGCTCCTTGATTCGTTGACACTGTTGCTGCTGATTATGCTGATGATGATGTCCTGGTGGTGTTCAATATTAGGACGACGTCGGCGACGACGACGAAGCGGAATAGGAGGAACAGGAGGAGCAGGAGGGAAAGGGGGACAAGGAGAACGAGTGATAAGATCAGCAAGGTGACCCGCGCGCTGGTGGGCGACCGCGTCGCCGAGCGCCTGGCCGCGCAGCCGGCGCGGTGGCACGTCTCGGACTGGACCGATCGCGCCACGGTGCTCTGCAGCCTGCTGACAGAGTACGCTGTTGGGATAGGTCCTCACTCTCCTCCTCCTCCTCCTCCTCCGCCCCCTCCTGTCCCCCACCTCCTTGCCTTCCTGCGTCCCGCCCTGTCTCCCTTCACCTCCCTTCCTCCTGCGAACGAGCCCCCTTCCCAGCCTCTCCTTTGCTCTACCCGCCGTCCCTTTCGGCTCACAGGTATTGGCAGGTACGCGCGGAGTCTTGGACAGTGGAGAAGCGTAACACCTTCACCATAATCCTTCATATGTCGTCACCGCCTTTGCCGACGGATACTCGGGAGGGGGTCGGCCTTTGGGTCAACCCTGCCCTCACGCGGGCTATCAGCCTTTTATGCTCGATCCCCTCGTGCGTGACAGCCCCCGCGCTGCGGGGCACCAGCTCCGCCCAGATGGCGACCGCCCCGCCGCGTGCGTGTGTGCTGCCTTCTGCGGCGGATGCTGGTGACTCCACTGCGCGGCGGGCGTTCGCGCACAGCCTCGAGGAGATCGTGGACTCTGGCAGGGCTAGCGTCGCCATTGTACAACTTGCTTCAGGCACTTGCAATGCGCCTGGGCATTTGGTCGAGCTGACCCCTATTCACGATACCCTCGGCGATCCGAACTTACACGCCGCCCCAACATTTGCCTGGCGAAGGACCCAACCAGATGCAGTTGTGAGTGCCGTCGATGTACGCACCGCCTTCGGTGGAGCTCCCAATATGGCCACGAAACGTGCGAGGGGTGTGCCCAAATTTGTCCCGTGGGCGCATGCGAAAGCAGCCTCTGGGGCTGTCGGTGGAATTCTCTATGGGGCCACGAAGCGCGTGAGAGGTGTGTTGAAATTGGTATGGCGGGCGCATGCGAGCGCAGCCATTTGAACCGTTGGTGGAGCTCCCTATGGTGCCGCGAAGCGTGTGATGGGTGAGCCGAAATGCGAACGCAGCCACTGGCGCTTTCGGTGGAGCTCCCTAGGTGGCCGCAAAAATCTGGCGGTGGGGCCTTCGGTTGAGCTCCTGTGGGGCCACGCGAAACGTGTGAGGGGTGTGCCGGCGTGACGCATGTGGGCGGTGGTATCGGGGCCTTCGGTGGAGCCCCCTCTGGGGCCACGAGACGTGCGAACGGTGTGCCCAAACCGGTGCGCGTGACGCATGCGGGCGGTGGCACTGGGGCCGTCGGTGGAGCCCCTGTGGGGCCACGGAAGATGTGAAGGGTGTGCCGACATGGGTGCGCGTGACGCATGCGGGCGGTGGCACTGGGGCCTTCGGTGGAGCACCCTGTGGGGCCACGAAACGTATGAGGGGTGTGCCGAACGGGGTGTGCGTGACGCATGTGGGCGGTGGCACTGGGGCGTTCGGTGGAGCACCCTGTGGGGCCACGTAACGTGTGAGGGGTGTGCCGAGGGGGGGGTGCGTGACGCATGCGTGCGGTGGCACTGGGGCCTTCGGTGAAGCTCCCTGTGGGGCCAAAACGTGTCAGGGGTGTGCCGACATTGGTGTGCGTGACGCATGCGGGCGGTGGCACTGGGGCCTTCGGTGGAGTTCCTTGTGGGGCCACGAAACGTGTGAGAGGTGTGCCGACAGGGGGGGGTGCGTGGCGCATGCGGGCGGTGGCACTGGGGCCTTCGGTGGGGCTCCCTGGAGGACCACGAAAGGTATGATGGGTGTGCCGAAATGGGTGTGCGTGACGCGTGCCGGCGGTGGCACTGGGGCCTTCGTTGTAGCTCCTTGTGGGGCCACGAAACGTATGAGGCGTGTGCCGAAATGAGTGTGTGTGACGCATGCGTGCGGTGGCATGGGGGCCTTCGGTGGAGTTCCCTGTGGGGCCACGAAACGTGTGAGGGGTGTGCCGAAATGGGTGTGCGTGGCGCGTGCGGGCGGTGGCACTGGGGCCTTCGGCGGGGCTCCGTGTGGGGCCACGTAACGTGTGAGGGGTGTGCCGACATGGGTGTGCGTGACGTATGCGGGCGGTGGCATTGGGGCCTTCGGTGGAGCTCCCTGTGTGGCCACGAAGCGTGTGAGGGGTGTCCTGACATGGGTGTGCGTGGCGCATGCGGGCGGTGGCACTAGGGCCTTCGGCCGAGCTCCTTTTATGGGGCCACGAAACGTGCGAGGGGTGTGCCGACATGGGTGTGCGTGACGCATGCGAGCGGTGCAGGGAGGAGGGGAAGCGGAAGGAAGGGAGGAAACAGAGATCGCGGGGACCGTCTCTTCAAAAAGAGGACCCAACACCACAGGATGGTTGGGAAATATGAGCCACGGACCATGGAGCTTTCGACCCCTTCGCTCAGCGCCAACCGGGGGCAACCCCTGCAGGTGGCAGCTTAACTGGGTAGAGTAAGCGGGGGAGAGCTCCTGCAAGCGTTCGCTCCCACGAACCTCACAAAACCCAGGGCGCTCATATCACAAAGGGTCCTCGACCTCGCCGCTCAAACCTTGGGCAGGGGAGCTCCTGCAAGCGGCCTCCCCAAGGCCGGCCGTGCACCTACGGGACTCCCAGTCCCACCAGGCCCTCCGTGTGCGTTGGGCCCCCGCGGCTGCCTTGAGTGGACACGCGACGTCTCCACTCCTGAGCGTGTGGGTCGTTCACGTCGCGTGGTTGAGCAGGTTCTTGCAATCGAGATTCGGCGCATGGTTTCCGAGCGTGGCCTCGTCCATGCTCGCGCTACCTCCGTCTCTAGACGTCCCGACAGCCCCGACGTTCCCCACCGTGGATCCTGACGCATCGATGGTTACGACATGGCCGCACAGGACGCTCATGGCCGCAGCTCCTCCCAGAGAGGCCGCACGACGGGCGCCCGAACACCCATTATCAGCCGTGCCACAACAAGACGTGGCCGAGCTGAGAAAGTAGGTTGGAGCATCTGCTGCGCAACAGTTCTCTACCGTGGAAAGATATGTCGCCGCCGCCGCTTCCAATGCAGCAATTGTGCGATCGGGATGTTATCGAATTTATCCAGGAGATCGGCGAAGCTGTCCAACTCGACCGAAAGGTCGTTGCTCAGGCGATAGTTCGAGCCGACGACTCCAAGTTCCTGCGCGGCTAAGGTCTCGACGACATTATTTCCGCCAAGTCTGACCTCCAGCGCCTCGAGGCCAACCTCTCCAAGGTCAGAGATCGTATCGACTCCCGAACCCGACGTCTCCACGACGAGGTAACGGCGCGCGCGGTGGCGGCGCGTGGCGCAGCTCCTGGCGCCGTACTTGAACACTTACAAGAGCTTCCAGACATGGTTACATCCCAAGCAGGTGTCTTACGCTCCGAGGCCCGCAACGTCCACCGGGACCTTTACGGCGAGCTCCCCATCGCCGAGAACACGGTCAATCAACGCTTCATCAACTCCCACGTCGAAGCCGTCCCAGAGTTATCCGCCAGTGTCCTCGCTCCCGAGCAGGCCGTGATTAAGTGGCATGCTGCACGGGCCCAGACTGCAGTTGGGCACCGCTTCGGTTGACATCAATGCCCCCTTGGTGCCTGAGATCCTGGCCTTGCGGGCGACAAGGAGCCACGTGCGATGGCAGCTTGGCGAAGTCCAAGCAAGGCGAGATGCCATGGCGACGCGGGTTTCTGAGTTGCAGACCCGCCCGCTCGCGGAGGATCTGTGCTCTTCGTCGCGGCATACCTGGCGGAAGGGGTCGGCCTCGCGGGCTCCAGTCTGGACTTGGTGGAGGAGGTGGCTGCGAAGATTCGCGCGGAAAGGCGTCCGCTTGTTCTGGCTGCCGATTGGAATGCTACTCCAGATGAGTTGCTGGCCTATGGAGTGCACAAGTTCCTGGAGGCGACTCAGGCTGTTCCTTCTGAGCTGCGAGATGTGGATGGCGGACGACGTATTATCATGTGCGCGTTGATTCCCAGCGCTCCTGCGAGCTCGGTCAAAATGTCTTGGGACCTAGGCGGTTCACGGGCCCAGCCTCATCTCGGCATCTCCGGTTCACTGGAGGGGAAATGTGGGAGCAGGATTTACAGAAGCTGGTTCACGTCCCGCGCCTTTTTCACAGGGGACTTTTAGGCCTGATCTACCTTGGGATCGTCAGAAAGAACGTGTTCGGCACTTGGTAGATGCGGGCCCCCCACCACAGCACGAGCGTGTAGGAGTTGAGAGCACCTATGCTTTGATTCAAAGGCACGTTTACTTTAAGTTGGCAGCTTAATCAACCTGCGCGGGTAGACAAGGGCACCCAGTCGGCTATCATCATAGAGGCTGGCGCCCGCAGCTGGAAACTACGTTGCATATCCACAGGGGCAGCCCACACAAGGCAGGCACGCGTGGACTAGGCTTCAGGAAGATGGAAGGGGCGCGCTTCCAGCAAGCGTTGGGCCTGTTGAGTGGCAAGAAGGAGTCCGAGGAAAGGGCGAGCCTGGTCCGCACGGCAGTGGACTGGTTGGCGAATGTGGAGTTTGCCCCGCCCCGGCTTCCTCAGGATGATGATGATGCGTCTCAACGCCCACGCGCCCCAGCTGGCCCGGCGCCCCGGAGGAGGCGGAGAAGGAGGCTGAGAAGGAGGCCGAGGAGGAGGCTGAGGAGGCTGAGGATGCTGAGGAGGAGGTTGAGGAAGGTGATTTGCAGCTCATCCTGCGCGCCGAGCGCCAGCTCACCCTGGATCCCTTCTCTGCCGAGGCAAACGAACATGCGGGGAGGCGCCCTCGTTGCGGCCAAGCGCAATCGGGATAAAGCGGGTAAATCCGCCTTCAGGAAGCAGCAGGCAGGTTTCAAGAAGTGGTTGTGCTACAGCCTGCAGGGTGGCGCACTGGCACATAACGCATTGGGGGCACCCGCTGGCAGAGCCGCAGCAGGAGCAGGATGAGGATGGGCAGCTCGAAGGAGGGATGCAGCCGGCAGCGCAGGGGAAGCAGGAGCGCCGGGAAGGTTTCTGGCAAACGTCCCCCGAGCGCCACTTGAAGCAGTAGTGGCGGGAGGAGTTCAGAGGGGCAGCGGCGGGCGAGAGAGGTGAGCTCCCCCCGCTGTCCCTGGATTCATTAGCACCTGTTTGTGGAAGTTTCAAAAACAACGATTGAGCATGGGGGCTGACCAGCGGCACCCCCAGTCTGGAGATCTCTCCCATCAGGGGCATTGGAAGAACTTCTGAATATTATCGTTGGCATTGTTGATGGCCAGCCCCCATGCTTGTACATGAGATTGGTCTCAACCCTGAGCCGCTTCCACAAGGAGGAGACAGTCCAATTGCTCGCGCGCAGACCCAAGAGCGCGCGTGGGGGAGGCCTTGGAAGGAACGGTGACCTGGGAGGCTGCCAAGGCGGGCTTCTGGGACAGTTCTGTTCGTAATTCCAATGCGTTGCGAGCCCGGCCCATGCGAGCCCTCAACATGGAGATCGGTCAGAACATCGGCTTCGACTGGGCCCAGGCCGTTGAGAAGTTTCACGAAGTTCTACGGCACGTTGAAGCCTTTCTTTTTTTCTATTGCGGCAGAGCCTCGGGCGACCCATGAGCGGTATATATATATATATATATATATATATATATATATATATATATTGGGACGTCAATGCGCATGGCCAGCCGTGCCATAACGGCGCAAGGTACAGCCTCTGATTTTATCCAGGTAACAGTTTCGATGTTGCGACGTTGTGCCCAAAGTGCGGCGCGGAGCCGAGCGCATTAGCATCGCGTGCTTCGCGAGACCCATGCCCGATTCCTTCCTCGAGAGCTGCGGCGGGAACCACGCCGAGATCTTCGCCCCCTGGAGGTGGGGACCTGGGTGGGTGACACCGCATTGCGTGCCATCGGGAAGGCGCAGACTGTAGTCAAACAGTACTCGGAGGCTCTGGGATACTCATTCCGTCGCTGAGAATTTCAGGTAAGACAGTTTTGCTGGTTAGCCAACCTAAGCTCGTCAAGCAAATTGCTGTTAATGTCCAGGCAGGGCACGGCATCAATGTGAAATCTGTCGCCGCCTGTCAGGACTTTCGGATCGTCTTTTCGAGTAAGAGGCGTAATGCCAGCGCGGCTCAGGGTAGGATCCAGAAGACCCCTGCACATGCTTGTCGCATCAAGGGTTAAAACAAAGCCGGCCGCACGGCAAAACGTCTGACCCGCACGGGGCTTGAACCCCAGGTTTCGTGGGTTTTGATACGAGAAGCCAGATAGCCGCCATGAGCGGCGTGCAACGTCTTGGAGACTGCGCCACAGTCGCGTTCTGGCTAAGGTTTACTCAGCTAGAACCCTTTGGTGTTAGGTCGCCTCGAATTGGTCAAATCTTGGTTGGAAATTGCGCCACAAGTCGACAGGACCAGACCATGTTTGTCGAATGCTTGGGCATGCTGCCTGCGCGCAATAGCCAGCGCGATGTCTCCATGGTGTAAAGTGAAGTGCCATATGGATGCCCTGATGGCGATGCTGCTCGACTTGGCTGGGATCCTGTGAGCCACTAAAAGTGGCTTGATGATGCCGGACAGGTGTATTTTCTCGCCCTTTGGCTGGCCACCCACCAGCGCATTCTCTTTTATCTCGAGCCCGCTAGGGGCAGGCTTCAGGGATGGAGGCAGTGCGTTTTGGCGGAGGTGGAGGGGGCTTGGGAGAAGAAGGTGTGGGAACAGCACGCGTCCCAGCGCTTTAGTGGAGCAGGTTTAGCCGACCTCAATTTTTCTCCGCCGCCACCTCCTGAGGTTGATGTCGACGGGTGAAGCCAGTTTGGCTGCCGTGCTCGAGATGGCGGCGATCGGCGCCTCATGGTCCGCCACGCAGCGCGCTCCCCGAGCCCCCGTCGGGTCCGAGGAGCGGCCGTGTGATGACAGGAAGCGGAGGAGGAGGAGGATCTTTTTCATCAGATGTGGTGCTGTCCTTTCAACCCCCCCCCCGCTCCTGAGGACCTCCCCCTCTTGCCCAAGAAGCCAAGGAAGAACAGGTTGAATTTCCATGTTTTTGGCTCCGCGGTTTCGTTCCCGCTTTGTGGGTCCATGACCTGGTCGATTCGTGGCCGGGGGGGGGGGGCAGGCCCATTTTGAAGGCGCTTTGGAAGCTGAAGGGCGCGTGCCCTTAGGCGCTGATGGCAGGGTCAGTTCGGGCGGGAGCGGGGGGGATTGCGCCGACGATAAGCGCCTCCGTCGATGTGGACGGGGTTGCGCCATTGTCCAAGGAGGCCACGTGGTAGGTAGATCGTACGGCACCCTCCCTGGACGGATCCCGACGGTTCCCCTAGCGGAGTTGGTCGGTACAACCGTAGCTTCACAGCGCGCCAGTGGCGAATGTAAGTTTGTGATCGATTGCCAGAGCATGATTGATAGGATTCGCCATGGACCCCATAGAAGCAAAATGCCAACTCGGCACCTTGGCTCCACTTCTGGGAGGCCTATGAAGGCCATCCAGGGCCGTGCCACTTTCAGAAGGTAAAGTCCCACATCGAGGAAGGGGACGCTGGGGTCGGCGTTGCCCGTGAGGACGTTACCGCAAACGATTGCCGCTGATGAGTGTGCCAAGGAATGAGCGCGCATGGCCGGGCTCCCCCAGCATGTCACCCGGCAGGTTATCGATATCGATAAAAAGCCTGTCCGCGTGCAGAGGCGCCTGACGGAGGTCGCTCTGAAAGTGGCCATCCAGACCCCGTCCTTTGGCTCGGCCACTTCTCAGGCTGATCGTGTGGCCCGCAGTCGAGCGTCTTCGGCCCAGCGTCATTCGAACGTCATGCAAGCTTTGCAGGAGACCGCGCACAGGGTGATCGAGAAAGGGGGGAACACTCTGTGCTGTTTGCCGAGGGCGCCCCACCAAGGAGTGTGGGACGCTGGAGCGGCTTGCCTCGCAATGCCCACGTAGGCCGCATCATATCCATCAGAGTCATGAGTTGTCTTGTGTTCGCGAACTCCTGGCGGCGTCGCAAGTGTGGGGCTCACAGCAGCGTGAAGATGAGGCAGGGTTGCAAGGCCCCGGCCACCGCACAGCAGACTGGGGCAAGAAGGTGCTGTCTGAACTCGTGGCTGGCCTCCTTCCCTCACGTCTGAAGGACTGGTCGGACGAGTTAGGTAATAGGCACGGCGCAGAGGTGAAGTTTCTCGCGCATGCCGTCCCTCGGTGTCATGTGCGGACTTGGGGACTTGGAGTGTGCGCCAGCAGCAGGAGGAGGCGGAGGAGGAGGAGGTGGAGGAGGAGGAGGAGGCGGAGGCGGAGGCGAAAGCGGAGGAGGACGAGGAGGAGGAGGAGGAGGAGGAGGAGGAGGAGGAGGAGGAGGGGAGGAGGGGGAAGGGGGGCGGCGCCTACGCAGCCGCCGCCGCCGCCGTTGGCCACGACGACGACGACGTCGACGACGTCGTCGACGACGTCGACGACGACGGCGACGACCATCACCACGGCCACGACCACGACCACGACCACGACCACGACGACGACGACCGCGACGACGACGACGACGACGACCGCGACGACGACGACGACGACCGCGACGACGACGACGACGACGACGACGACAATTCGCTCAGGTGGAAGGCCCCTGCGTCGGCCGCTGCGGATCGTGGAGGTCGGGGTGCACGAGGGCCGCACGCTGGCCCGGCTGCTGGGCCTGGAGGAGCGGAGCGCGCCGCAGGGCTGCGACGCCCTGACGTTCCGGCTAGGGGGCCACATGCGAACCCTACCCCCACCCCCAACGATCTCTGAGGGGGAGGGTGGGGTTCACTTCGCTCGGAAGCTCCCGAACGAAGTGAACCCCACCCTCCCCCTCAGAAATCGTGGGGGGTGGGGGTAGGGTGCGCATGTGGCCCCCTACCGGCAGCAGCGGCTGCCGCACGGCTTCCAGTATCCAGTGGCGCTGCCGCGCGCACCGAGGCCCGCTGGCGGATGTGACTGGTAGAGTAACCATGGCTTGATGGCTCTGTCTGTACCTTTCGTGTTTAGCGTTATGCGTCGAACTCGAGACGCCCTCTGGCAGTCCTTGCTTCATAAAGAATTGAATCCCGGCCCCTCTCCTCGACCTCGGCCCCAGAGGGGGCCGCGGTCGGGCACTGGGGCCAGCGGAAACGTGCACAGGACGGAGAGCCGCTCCCGGGGATGGGGGGCCGAGACGCCCGGGGCCCTGCGGGTCGAGCGCGGTCCGACGCGGAGGTCCCCGTTTCTGTGCATCGCTGTTCTGGCCTCGGACAGAAATAGCGAACGCTCATGCCACATTGATCTGTGAACGCCTCCCCCTCCCCCCCAATGTTCAAAGTTGGCGGTGGGTCTGATGAGTTGCACCTCGACCGCGGTCTCCCCCGCGCGTGCCACCTTCGAGTTTGGGGGGCAGGGGGGGGTGTTCACGAATTGTTTCCCCTCTACCGTATTCTGGCGAGTTCCCTGCACATGAACTTCTGAGTGTGGGCGAGGCTGGGCGACGAGTGCGAGTGAATCTGGCCATAGGCGAGTCTGGGTATGGGAGGGCCAGGAGGCCCACGGTGCTCCGCTGGTCGGCCCCACTTTGGATGATCCAGATGTAATGTTTGCTACATCGCGATGGTCATGGGGCTCTGAAAGGAGTCGGCGGGGGGGCAACACACGTGATTTGCTACAGACGTCCCTACACACTGGGCGCGAACGGGTAAGTGTTATACCTCCTGGCGGCTCCCCCTTGGGGTGCCCAAGTGCTGTACGTGTCGCATCGCGATGATTATGGCATGGGGTTCCGGAAGCAGAGAGGTCGGGGGGACCAAAGCATGCGTTTCGCTACGGACGTCCCCACACATTGGACGCGAATGGATACGTATCCTACCCTCTGACGACGCCTCCCTGGGGCTCCCTGATGATGGGGCTATTAAGAGATGAGGAGCCCTATGCACCCAAGCATGCGTTGTAGGCACGCATCTGGACACGAATGGGCCCGTTGAACACTCCTGGTCGACTCCCATGGGGGCACTGCAAACAGAGGACGCGGGTCTTCTCTAGCTGTAAGTCGGGCCTGTCCCTCTACAGAGGGAATATCCCAAAATAGTCCAAAAATAGTCGGGGTACTATTTTTGGAGCATTTTTTACCATTTTGGGGTACTTTTTGCGTATCTTTTGTTATTCGTCGAGGATCCCCCTGTAGGGGGACACGCCCGACTCAACTCTGGCTCTCTCGCTGCCTGGCCGTGCCGGCATGCCTGCCCTGTCCCCGGTGCCAGGCGTGCCCTCGGGCACTGCCTGATCCTCCAACGCCGGCGTGTTTGGTGGGCTTTACGCCCCCGGGTCGCGTTTGAGAGGCCCCGCGTTGTTGTGCTTTCGTTGCAGAGGAGATTAAACAAATAAAAAATATTTGTTTTATAAGAAAAGAAAAATAACGCCGGCGCTCGGAGAGGGGGGTGGGCTCTGGGGCCCGCTGCCCTTGGCGGGGCGCGTCTTCGTCGCGGGCACTGCAGTGGCTTGGCCTCGCTCGGGCGCGTGCGCTGTCTCTCGGCGGGGATTATTAAGGAACATCCTGGATCATCCTGCGAAGTAACCACGCACGAAACCGAAAAAGCACAGGGAATGGACGTCCCAGCGACGGGGAGGTGGGCGCACAGCTGATTTCTTCTCGAGTCAAGGCGCAGCAGGATGTCAGAGCCGGCGCATCGCTTGAAGGCGTGGGCGCTCGTGCTGTATAACGACGGCCGCCGCCGTCGCTTATGGCATCAGCGGCGAGTGCTGGGGGTGGTGGGGTCGTCGGAGACTAACGTGCTGATCTGCACTCTTGATAGCGACGTGTATAGCGATACGTTGCTGGACATCGGACAGCAGCAGGACGTGTCCGCGGTGAAATTCTAGTACCGTCGAAGGCCAGCCCTGGGGGCGTTCCCCGAGCGGAGTGCTATCGCTTCAGTGCGGTGTGTCGCCTGCGGACCTGACCGCCCGTGAGACTGAGGCGGTGGCTCCGGCGAGCGAGATCTACGAGGTGAAGGAGATGGTTGCGGGGCGTCCCGCTGTGCTTTCCCAGTCGGCGCCTGGAGCTGCTGACCGACAATCTGGCCGCGGCCGCGGCCGTTCTGGCGTTTTTTCCGCCCGCGGCAGCCCCAGCGGCGGGGGCTGGCCCACCAGCGGCGGCGTCGCCGCCTCTGGAGCTGGCCCCGGACGCCCGCATCCTTGATCTGCAGATGGTCGTTGTGCTTGCACGGAAGGGCCCCGCTCGTCGTCGTCAACCGTGGCGCGACGCCGTGGCGCTTGCCTCGGTGGTGACGTTCAACGATTGGCCCGACCCAGGGCTGCGTGGGACGGCTTGGTGCGCGGCCTTCATCAACAGGCGGAGCGGAGGCCCCCCGCTGACCACCACTTCTTCTTCAGGCAACTCTACGGCCTCACGAAGACTGATTGTGGTGTGGACGCCCATGGTGTGATCCTCCGCATGTTGGATAAGGCTAACTGCTAAGACGAGCTCGACGTGGCGAATGCGGCGGCCCTAGAGATGGCGCTGAGGCATGCGCAGCTCGTGGAGTACGTGTATGCGCCGGGGGCCGCCGGCAGCGGCAAAGGCAAAAACAAACAGGGTGTACGCACCACGATACAGGCGAAGCGATGGTGGCCTCAGACCTCCTCGACTACGTGGCGAAGGACGTGGAGCGGGACGCGTCGGTGATGAAGCAGGTCAGGAAGGCGAGGGAGGAGCGCCGTCGCCTTGCTGGCCAGCGGCACAAACAGGGGCCCAAGGGCCAGGAGGGGCAGGGGTGAAGCAGGCTGGCCGGGCGGCGGGGGCTCCGACCGCCGCTCGGCGCGTGAGAGGAGCTTTTCGCAGGTACGCGCTCGTGGCGAAGCCCGCCAGCGCGACGTCCTGCCCATCCCCCTAGAGACACTCGCGCCGGAGAGGGGTGATAATTCATTGCAACAGTGTCGACCAGTGCTTCGGCGAGCGCAACGCCGATCCCAGTTGCACTGGGGCGGCGGAGACCATCGCCGCCCTCAACCACCTCCACTGCGGCGTCGACCAGTCGAGGGAGGTCCGTGATCCGCCCCTGACGGCTGCCCAGGCCGAGTGCGTGGCTCGGGTGCGAGACGCCTGGGCACGCCTCGGTCCGCCGCCGACTGAATCGGAGCCTTCAGGAGCCTTGGAAGAGCTCTGGGGATCGGAGCGATAAGACGGGGAGCCGTCCGTCGTCGCGCCGCTCGACGCGCGCAACTTCGCGCTCCCGCCCGCCGGCTTTGAGCCCGTGGACTTAGAGTCGGCGGGGGGCGCGGTGGGCAAACACATCGTCGAAGGTTAGAGAGAGAAAGTCTAGCCAAGAAAGCAGGCGGAGGTCAAGAGGAAGGAGACGGGAGCCAGCCGCCCGTATTGGGACCCCGTTGTTCCTCGACGATTGCGGGTCTACGCCGTCTTCTTCTGGCGAGCCGAGGCCGCGGGGCTCGTCGAGTGCCGACGCTCGGCGCAGACGGAGCTCGGCATGCTCTCGGTCTAGAAGGAGCCGGGGGAGCAGATAGTGATTGTAAGTGTGCGTCTGGCCAACTGCGACTTTGATGAGCCGGATTCAGTGGAGCACGCCGCAGGCCAAGCCTTCAGCGCCACGCGGGCGGACGAGGGGCCCCGCATCATCGTCGGGGGGGTCGACATCCAGGCGGCCCTCCACGCCATGCTGCTGCTGAGAGATCTCCGCTCGCACTTCGGCCTGGCGCCAGTGCGCGCGGGCGCGGTAAACGCGACGTGCGTCGACGGCTGCGCCGTGGCCGCCCATGACCGCATAGTGCCGGTGCTGAGGATCTTGCCCGTGGGCTAAACTCAGGCCCGTTGGGCCTGCCAGACACTGCATGAAACTATCGTCGACCTCTCGACCAGGATGGGCGGTCATCCCCCCCATGCGCAATTTTGTCGATGCACGGTGCAACCCCCTCTGGGCACCCCCATGCGATGTCCAGGCGCCACGCCTTTCACATCGCGGCGACCATGGGCGGGCGAGTCTGAGTGCGAGTTGCGAGCATGCGCGCGAGTGAGTTTGAGTTTGGGCCTGGGCGGGTCTGCGTGTGATCGAGTGGGCACAGGCGGCTTTGAGCGCGAGCGCAAATGAGTATGATTGGCATGTGCGCACGACTCTTGAGTAGGGCTAAACCGAGTAGGATTGGATACGGGTGAGAGAGTCTGAGTGCGAGCATAAATGGGTGTAGATGTGCGTGAATGAGCGGATGCGAGTATGAACCGTTCTGGGTGACATAGAAAGTGAGTGTGGGCGGTCTGTGTGTGTGTGTGGGAACTTGAGTCTGACTAGGTTGGGTATGATTTGTTCTGGGTGTTAGCGAATATGCATGTGTGGGATCTGGGTATTTATGGACCTGAGCGGGGGTGGATGTGCGCGGCGGGGGGGGAGGGAGGGAAGGACAGAGGCGGAGACATCGCACGCATAATAATGGCCCCGCCACCACGCTATGTGCATTAAGAAGTCATACTTGTGAGATCGGGGACACGAGACCCGTGCTCGTGTTAGTGGAGGTAAGGATTTTCTGGGCATGCCGAGTCCGTGTATGAGTATGAGCTGTTCCGAGAACGAGGGGTCCGAGCGTCTTTGGGTACGAATGCGAAAAAGGTGTGAGAGGGTGTGTGGCTCTGAGAGCGAGTGGGTCTGAGTGTGAACGATCTGAGTATGATTAAACGAGTCTGAGTGCCAAAGAGGGAGGCGGGCGAGATGAGTGAAGTGGATGCGTGACACCACCAACA